CCCCCGGGGCCTCCACTGCAGCGCCGGCTGGAGCTGCTCTGGGGACTCGGGGTTGTTTTGCCCACGCCTTCGGGATGAGGGGCACAGCCCGGGCCACACAGCCGTGCAGCGTGCCCCAAGCCGGGAGCTGCCTGGTGGGGAGCCCCCGCCCTCCTTGCATTGGTTATTGAAGAGGCGGGAATAGAGAGGCCCTCTGGCTTGTGGCTGGGCTTGGAAGATGCTTCTCTCCCTTCTGGCTAAGATGAAGCAGGGCTCAGGGGCTAGGACCAAGCAAGGCTCAGGGGCTAAGATGAAATAATGTTCGGGGGCCAAGATCAAGGCTTGGGGGATAAGACCAAGCAAGTCATGGGGGGCTAAAACCAAGCAAGATCAATCAAGGCTTGGGGGCCAAGATCAAGCCTTGAGGACCAAGATCAAGCAAGGCTCGGGGGCAAGATCAAGCAAGACTTGAGCGCTAAGATCAAGCAAGGCTCAAGGGGCTAAGACCAAGCAAGGCTCGGGGTCATCCAAACCTCAAGACCTCCGGGCTTGGGGCTTGCACATAGGACACCTGCCTGGATTTGGGAAGTATCCAAAGTCCCAGACCAGAGGGTCTTGGAGGAAGGATACATGCCCAGTGTTAGAGCCACATAGGCTTGACCATTTGAGCTCTGCTCATTCAAATTTTGGAACTTGACTCTTGGGCTTTGCCTAAATGAATTTGGAGCTGATTTGGTCTCGAACAAGATTAAAAGAAATGCTGATGAGGGGGTGTTTAGAGGGACTGGTTGCCACAGAGGGAGCTTTCAAGCTTGTTCTGTAAAGATTGTGTGAAATGAAAGCTCTATTTAATATTTTAACTTATTATTTTATTAGAGGAATGCAGCTTTCTTGAGGAGATGCATGGGGAATAGGTGCTGGGTTTTGGGGTTTGTTTTTTTGGAGGTGGGGGGTCAGAGAGGAAGCCACAGCTAGATGTTTGCAAGTGAAGCTTCCAGGATATCACAGCTGCTGTGGCTGAGGGTCAGAGAGCCTTTGCTACTGTGTCATGGAGCCCCATGTTTATAGCTTGGATACAAGGATGGAGATGCCCATAGCTGGATAGTCTGGCACAAGGTCCAAGCTATTTGGGCAGGGGAAGGACCTTTTGTTGTTGTTCTTGGAGGGTAGACAAGAAGCGCCTTCTGTTGCTGCTGTTAAAGAGTATAAATGTCCTGCTGCTTCCAGGAGGGGAAGAGAGATGCAGAGGCTGCTCAAAAAATTAAAAAAAAAAAAAATTGGAAAGTGCAGCTGGTGCTGAAGAACCCATAAGAAGCTTCTGTTGTTCAAGGGTGGTAAAAAGGCTGAAGAACCCAAAAGAAGCTTCTGTTGTTCAAGGGTGGTAAAAAAAAAAAAAAGCTGGCAAAGCTACCAGTGATAGAAAGAAGACAAGATAAAATGTTTTGTGTTTTCTCCCAAACGATACAACCAAAAGCTGGTTTTCTGATGTAATGCAGACTTACCTCTGTCTTCATGAAGTAGCTCCCCCCCACCATGTAGATGTTAGGTGTTCTAATAAATCAAGCATTATTTAATAAAACATAGGATGATGCTCAACCTTGCTCTTACTCCATACCAGAATGACGTCTCAAATATTTTTGTAGCATGTTCAATCATATTTAATTTATGGTACACAAAAGCTGTCCAAATATGCATTGCAGCTTAAGAGCCAAAACATGCAAGCCTTGTGCACACTTAATAGTGAAATTAATGGGAAGAATTTTGTGTGTAAGCATTGCAGGATTTTTGTCTATTGAAAGCAAGTTTATTGGTCATTCTTCTCAGTAATTGGCATGCTATGGTATGTGTCTAAGTTAACATGGTGTTTTTTGGTGGAAAAATCCAGGTGAGTGACTTCCTAATGGTCTCTTGGGCTTCCTCTGAGGAGTTGAGATGTATTCCTCAAACACACTAGTCCCAAAGGATGTTTAAATGTAAACTCTTTATTGTGTAACTCCTAATTTTGGTGTACAGTCTAAACATGTACATAACAATGGGGAAAATATTAAAACAGGTTCTGTACCTTATTTGTTGTCCAAGAGCTCATAACTCTTCTGCTAACTTTGAATTGAGTTTTTATGGCCATTCTATATAGATTGTTTAGTTTCTATATGCAATTCTCGTTTTCCACATTTTGCCCTAATATAAACCCCTTGTTTCCCTTTATCCACCACAGATTGGCTGTTCTTCTGAGACTTCAGACCTCAAGATGAAGTTCTTGCTAGCAGTTCTCTTTTTCATTCTGTTCTCCTTATGGATTGAAGAAGTCTGTTCTAAAGAGAAATCTTCAAAGAAAGGGAAGGGGAAAAAGAAGCAATATCTATGCCCATCGTATGTACCTGATCCCTTTGTTTTATACTTTAGTCTTGAGGAGATCAGTGGAGGTTTTTAAATGTAGAGATTTTAAAGTAGAATCTGATCTTTCTTACTGAAATAACAGTTATTTAATAATTTTGGGAGGTGAGAAATGGGAGGCTTGTTTTTTGATCAGTGATGTATCTTATAGTATCAATGAGCATTAATCTCTGCAGTAGATCCTTCTGAGTTTCCTTCTAAATTTCTTGGGGGAAAATAAAACTTCTGAACCCTGCTTATTTTTTAATTATAATTTAAATGTTAGATTGGGATTTCAGCACAATAACTGCATATTTTATAGACATTATAAATCAGCCTTCTAATTTTGTGCTGTCTAGCACTGAACCTAAAATATACACATTAAAATGAAGATGACCACAAAAACGATGCTAAAATCTATTTCTTGTGTTAGATAAGTTTTGTACTGCTGTTAGGATAGTGCATGTCCTGTTCACATTCTTAATATGATATGCTTTATATCTTTGCATCAATCACATACATATATATATAGTTTGTATTAAAGTAAAGTTGATGGTTGCTGTAAAAAATTACTGGCACATGCACTTATGAAACAGTTTTACTGTAAATATAGAGAAATAATAAGTTTCGATTGCCCCCTGAATATATAAAGACCAATAGCAGAGAACACAGACAGCAAAAGGCAGATGACCTCAGAGTGCTTCAGAGTACGGGGCCCACTGTTTCTAATGCCAAACTCATTATATTTGAACTGACAAGGTTGAAAGAGTTATCAATGAGTACATAAAGCAACCTACCCTAAGTGATAAATGTGGGTGAAGTGAAAGTTAGCTGCTGTCATTCTTCCTCAGACCATGAAAGAGAAGCATGCTAAAAAGTCAAGTTAGCTACCTAGATAAAGAGAAAAGTCCTGTTAAGCAGAAAAAACACATTTTAAATAACAGATATAGGCATTGTTTGCAGAAATACTTTTAAAAAATCTTATTCTAGACTTTACTGTGGTATTTACTTATTTCTTAAAGGTTCAGAAACTTCGACCTATGGAAAGATTTCATGGTTATTTTGTTTGGATTCTAAAGAGTCCGCCATTCTGTTGGACTTGGGAACCTAAGGATAAAAGTGTTGGACTTGGGAGCCTTGTTTTCCTGACATGGGATGCACAGATTGTACTTTTTATGAATAATTATCAGTATCTGGCTGTATTGTAGTACTATAGCTGTCATGTAGTACTTTTCACTGGTATGTGTCCCAAGGCTTTACATAGGAGAAAAATATTCTCCCTATGTTACAGATGTGGAAACTGACTTGTTGAAGTCACCCAGCAGGCTAGTGGCAACTAGAACCCGAGTGTTCCAAGTATCTTTCGAGTTCTTTCTCCCTCCACTGAAATAGAATTAGAATTGAAATATTAATATTTCACTTTGTCTTGATGATATTTTTTTAAAACCCTGTGGTACTTCCTGGCATACTTTTTACACTGTTGAAAGTATATGTGTAGTTTTATGAAATGCTGAAAAATAAATGTGTATGCTAAATAATCTTAGATGCAGTACAGTATTATGTCAGGGTATTATTAATATCCACTTAGGCCTCATTCTAAATTCTTGTGCTAATATTAGCAGCACAGTAGTTTGTATGTATTAGTTTTCATATGGTGTTAGCCAAAAACAGTTGACAGAAAGTTAGGCCGAGTAAAAAATCAACTTAGCACCTGAATATTTACAGTTCACAGTTTTAAAATGAAATTGGATGCTAATGCTTTCACACTGGAAGGGTCCATATTTGAACAGGTGGACAGCATCTAGAAGACTCCTAATGTCAATTGATGAACATGATCATTTTTAGAGTGGTGGAATTTTATCTTCTGACAATATTTATTCCCATTTTATTTGCCATTGACCTGATCATGATGAAGACACCTGTGTGAGTATACCTGTTGCTACTAGTTGGTTAAAAAAATCCTACAAAATAAATATGGTTGATAAACTCACACAGGCTGCAAAAATTTAATCTGTGAGCTCTGTAAAATATCTGTGCAGCATGCACATAGCCCTATCAAAAGTCTTAGTTGCTGTAATGGATAACACTGTATATTTCAGAGGGCTATTTTTCATGTTGAAGGCATAATTAAGTCTGCCTGTCTTTTTTCATGAAAACTGAAATATTTTTTTCTCAAAAATTATCCAGTAAAATTTGAAATAAATTACTACATGTGGGTTAACCAAATATACCATGGAAGAAAATGGTCTCTCAACAAAGTTGGATGAGAATTTTTCTAGAAAAAGGAATTTCCAGAAAAAAAATTAAATTATACCCATTTGATACTGAATACTTTCTAATTATTTTTAATTTTTTTATAATAAAAATAGCTAATGGAAGTAGATGTTTATCATATAGATAAAATGTTCATTTATCTTTTATTTACCTTAGCCTTGAGTGAAGTAAAATAAAAAGGTAATGACTGTTTTATGTTTCAGTATAAAGAGTTAAAGAAATGTACAGCATTTTGTAGGCCAGAGCCACTTGTGTACATGAGTAAAAAGTCATTTAGCATCTCTAGGAACAATTTATATCCTGTCTAGTATTAATGTTTGGTTGGAGAGAGGGTAATTTCATGCAGGTAATTTAATACTGTAAAACAAATTATTGATATCAATGTTCTTTGGACTTTACCACAGTTTTCATTGTACCGTTGGGTCAGACATATCAATATTTTTACCTTTATCTACATTCTTATTAGAATGCAAGCTGCCAGCCATCTGTCGTGGTCTCATATGAAATTAACTAGTATCACTATGAAGCTGAAAACAGAGATGGGAATCTGCATGGAAAAATCCATTATTTTATTATGTACCAATATTTACTGGAAACTTTTACTTTTCCAGATAAGAAAATGCTGCTTTATTTAGAACCTTTTGCCATAATTATTCATGATTCTTGGTCCTATGTGTATTGATTGATTATATGTGATATTAGCATGGTGTTCTGTTCTTTTGTCTGTCTGGCTCTGCACCAGTTTGTTTAGGGTTTATTTTGAAATTGAGCAGACTCTTGCTTTCTGTTCCACAAAACTGATGCTTACTGCTTATGTCCTTCTTAGGATTTAATGACTAAAATACATAGATTTATGTATGTAAATCTGGGGCAGGGTGGGATGCGGGATGGAGCTGCAGCTCGTCTAGGAGGGGTGGGGAGGAGGGGGAGGCTCCTGCTGCTGCACGTACCCTGGGAGGACATGTGGGCATGTGCCCCCAGATCTGTGCATGGGGTGGGCTGCCACTGTGGGCTGCGACCGGGGCTGCGCCAGCCTTTTCTCAACAGCGAATTGGGCCAGGCTATGCTTAGGGCAGGGCAGGTGGTGGCACTGAGAGGGACATTGGGGGAGCTACAGTGAATTTTGGGGTGGCTGCAGCCCCTCCCAACAGTCCCCTCCAAGTACCACTGCCACCCATCCCGAGTACAGCCCAGCCCAGCCCCGCTGAGAAGAGCCCGGCACGGCCCTGGCTTCAGCCTGTAATGGCAGCCTGCCCTGCACAGATCTGGGGCACACTCCCTACATGCCCTCCTGGGGTGCTTGCAGCAGTGGGAGCAGCCCCACACCAGCTGGGCAGCACCTCCCCCAGCCGCAGCCCCACTCCTTCCAAGGCCCAAAAAGTCCCTATCAATGCACCCCTAATTGCCCATGGCAAAGGAAGCAAAAGTTAGCTATTAAATGTTAGGCAGAAGGCATGGGAGAGATACACCTTATAGACTACCCCTCCCTCAAATTGTATTAATTTATATAAGCCCCATGTGTTGTTGATGTACAGGAATGTGAAGAGAGGCATCTTTGTAACTGAAATTCTGTATCTAGTTTCTGGGGTGTTTGAAGTTTTTCTATAGCTTAGGTTTTTCCCTAGAGTAAGTTTTTTTCTTCCTTTAACTCCCAATAATTCTGGTTAACATATATTGAGACAATTTGAAGGTTTTTTAAAATTCTTTCTTGAATGTTTTACTCCAAGTACAGGTGAAGATCATTTTTGCTTTAGGTTGTAACATCAGAATTAAATTTGTATAAGGTCCCTCTACATATGCAGGTAAAGCAACTATGAGATCTAAAGTCTGGTCCACACAAGTGCACCTCCTGCCATGTCAAAGGAGCATGGCAACTGGTGTGATTGTAGGATCATGCATTAGATCCCATTGCACCGTATCACTGGTGCAGGGGGATTTTGCCCAGCTCTCACAACTGCGAGCCCCACAGCTGACAGGGCTTGCATTGGGGGCAGGGCTCCCCATTGGCTGAAGGGCTTGCAGTGGGAACAGTGGGAAGAATGCTGCTATCACTGTGAACCTGATCCACTGTGGGGCTTGCAGCAGGGGTAATGCTTGGAATGCTGCCCCTCCAAAAGCCTCATAAGATGCAGGGGTCACGGGGGAGGTGAGGAGGGGGGTAGTGGGAGCACCTTATGCAGCTCTCAGGCAAGGCAGTTTTCTCTCCGCTGCAAGAGCCACAGTTAACTAGCCTCACAGTTGGGTCAGTGCAGGGAATGCTGCACCAATTTGAATCTTGTCAGCTGTGGGGCTGGCAGCAGGTTGTGCACCCCTGTGGAGCATTTCGCTACAGGTTCAATTAATGACAGGGTTAGAACTAGCTACAAAGTTATTATGCATTTTCTGTGGAATAACTTTGTAGCTTATTGGTTGTTTTATCACAGCATTAATTGGTTGAACGTGTAGCTGGGTCTCAACTTAAGTTGTGATTAAATGGTTATTGTGTAGAGGGGGCCTAATACTCTAACTGACATCTTGGCCCTATTATACAAGACACTGCATAATCATATGGTACCACATCCAAGGATTTTCTAATCTTAATAAACAATATTATGGTATAGTTGTAGTGTTCATATAGCTGTGACAATCCAGGGAATATGCAAAGATCAAGGTTTGCTTGGTAATCTTTTATTGGATCAACTATAGATCAACTATGGAGCTGTTAGACAAGGATAATCTATATT